GCATTTAACTAGTGTGAGCCAGACCCTGTGTCAGTGCTACAGACATTGAGATTAAAAGAGGTTACAGTTTAGTCAGAAAGGCAGTTATTACTTAATGTGATGAAGAACACTGCAGGGAGTGGGTCCCTAACCCTGGACACACCACTTAATCTTCACTTCATGAGCACAGGACCTCTGTTAAGAGGTATTAGTATTATTTCAACTGTATTTGTGAGCAAGATGTTGACTGTTACTGCCATCAAGTGGCAGAGTTTGAACTCAGATCTTCTTGGCAACAAGCCCCATCTTTTTAATTACTTCTTTTCCTGCCTCTTGGGGCAGTGGTGCGAGGACAGGATCTTTGTCCTCAGGTTCCATACCTGTAAATCAAGAATGACCATCATGTAGATACTTCCTGGCTCTGACACTGCGAGGGTGTTTTCTATCTGTTTGTTTTATTTATTTATTTTAAAATTTTATTATTTTGTGTGTGTGTACCATCAAGTTGGATCTGACAGGTACAGGAGGAGATTGCCCCTCCTTCTCCAGCAGAGCATCTGGTGGATTTGAACCATGCACCTCTGGCATTGCAGTACAGCTTCTTGCCACTAGGCCACCAGAGCTCCCCTCTATCTGTTTGTTTTAATTAATCATCTTTTTATAAGTGAGGATGGTTATTTTTATTCTCCTTCATTAATTATGCAGTTCATTGTAGTTGTTGTTATGTGCCGTCGAGTTGCCTGCGACTGCCAGCATCCCTAGGTACAACAGTCCTGAGGCAGTCTCTCCGACTCAGACACACCTAATCCCATTGTTCCAGTTATAGTGTCAATCCATCTCACCCAGGGTCCTTCCTCTCCTGTGCTGTCCCTCCACCCTTCCGAGCATAATATCCTTCATTAAGGACTGGTCCCTCCTGGCCGTGTACCCAAAGTATGTGAGACAGAGCGGTAAAATCCTTGCCTCCAAGTGGAAATTTGGTTTTATCCCCTCCAAGACAGACTGTTCTCCAGGTGGTCCATGGTATGTTCAGTACTCTTCTCCAGCACCACAGCTCAATGGCGCCAATGTCATCCTTAGTCATTGTCCAACTCTCTGATGCATAGCAGACCTGGAAAATCCAGAGAAGTGGATAAGGTAAAAAGAAATCCTCCTGTACCCCTGCCACCCGAGTCTAATGCTGAGTATATCGGAGAGGATTTTCTTCCAGCCTGGTCTCTCCTACTTCAGAAGCAGTCTGCAGTGCTGTGTGCATGCTCGTCTGTGATCTGCTGGACCCCCTTCGGTTTTAAATCCAGTCCTCCTTTACCAACCTGAGAGCTTCATGGCAGGAAGGTTCTGGGTCATGTTTCAGAGACAGGTTTTATTTCAGGAGCACCACAGCACATTTCTTTGGGCCCACACACATATAGCTCAAGGAAGACATTTCAGGAAAAAAAGAATTAACAATTCCTGAAAAATTCCTGGTGTTTGCTTAGCACGTCCCACCTTTTAACTTTGCTGACTCTGCGGTAGCAGCCTGGGCGGGTGCTGCGCTCCCCCTTTATACAGGTATAGCTTGAGTCTTGCCAGGGAAGACCTAAGGCCTCACAGAGAGATTGCACTCTTCCAGACTTCATTCCCAGGCTCTCAGGGTCCATCGGCAAGTCCCTCCAGGTGCAGTGTGCCCACCTTGGGTATCGGAATGCAGGCATGTGGTCGTTTGGTGGTGACAGCTTGAAGGATGGGCATCTTGGGGCCGAGGGAGCCTGCCCACAACTGTTGTGATTGACCTCAGGTGATTCTGATAGGATCTACTGAGGGGCAGATAGTGGCTCCCCCTTGATCCCCTCTTTACTGAAGCTCAGCTCCTTTGCGAGTGGTGGAGGTGAGACTCCAGCCTGGACCCCTGACTCCAGAGGTCGAGCTGTGGTCAAGTCTGTCCTTGGTGTGCTGGCTGAAGGATCAATTGCTGATGGCAGAACCAGAGCAGCATTGTTTTAACTTTGAGAGGAGCCAGGAGGAGGATTGCTAGGAGTGGGAATCAAGTTGGTAACAGTAGGAGAGCATATGTTGTTGTTGGGTGCCATCGAATCGAGTACAGCTCATAGTGACCCTGTGAACAGCATCTGCGCTCTCTCCTATCCTCTGCCTCATCTCTTACACTCTCGAGCCCATTGCCACAGTCACTGTGATTATCCATCTCTTTAGAGGTCCTGCTCTCTTTTGCTGACCCTCCACCTTTTCAGGCACGATGTCTCTTTCCAAGGAATACCTTCTCCTAGCAACATGCTCAAAGTAGAAGAGATGAAACTTTGCCATCTTTGCATCAAAGTTGCAGTCTGGCTGCACTTGTCTCCAAGATGTATCTGTTCTTTTGGCAGTGCATAGTATAGTCAGTACTCTAACACCACAACTAAAAGATATCAACTATTCTTCTATCATCCTTATTCACTGTCCAGTTCTCAAATGTCTAGTAAGTGATTAAAAAGACTAGGGCCTGAATCAGGTCCACCTTAGTCTAAAGACTGACATGATTGCTCTTGAGTATTTTGGAGAAATTCCTCTGAGAGCAGACCTGCTTAATGCAGTATGTATCCTGCTTTTATATATATAAACTCCTGAGCTCTGTGATGGGTTCAAACCCAGGTTCTGATATTTACTAGTTGTGTGATCTTGGGTAAGATATTTTACCTCTCTGGGCCTCATTTTCTATATGATTTGAATTACTAGATATTCACATTTGTAAATTGCTTAGGAAGTGACTGAGATGGTATAGGCATTATCTGAATACTTGGGGACAGTGTGGTTCAGTGGTGGGCTTTTTGCCTTCCACGTAGGAAGGAGACTCAGGTTTCATTCTCAGCCATTGCACCTCAAAAAAGTAGTGATCACTCATCTGTCAGTGAACACTTGTGCGTAACTATGCCGCGGGACAGGTGTCAGCAGAGCTTTTAGACTAAGAGGGACTAGGAAGAAATACCTGGCTATCTGTTATTTTTAATACAATTTTTGTTTTATACTGGTTTACTTACAAAGTTCATATACATTGTTTTTCACACAAGATTTTTCCCATTTCCTTTACCCACTTCTCACTCTACTTACAATATTGTGTGACCCTATGGTTACCCCCGCCTATCCTCACCTCTCTGCTCCTGCCTTCACTCCCCCTTGGATCCTCATACACATTTTACTAGTTATCTTTCTATTTCTACAATAATGGTCTTATACAGTATTTGTACTTATGGGACTGAGTTAGTTCACATAACACAATGCTATCTAGACCCTCCCAAGTTAGATAGTAATTTTCAAAATCATTGTTCTGGCATGCTACGTAGTATTCCATCATGTGAATGTACCGTAATTTCTCAATCCATTTGATTGTGGCTTGACATTTGGGCTGTTTCTTTGTTCTTGCGATGGTGAATAACACTACTGTGAACATTTGTGTACAAGTCTCTGTTTGTGCCTCTAATTTTCTTGGGTTATATTCCAAGCAGTAGAATAGCTGGGTCATATGAAATGTCTATGTTCAACTTTTTTGAGGATACCTGGCTATCTACTTCTGAAAATCCATCAAGGAAAACTCTATGGCCCCCAATAATGCCGTCTGCAGCTGGTTATAGGGGTGGTGCAGGACTGGAGAGTGGATAGGGTCACCATGAGTCTGGGTGGGGGTGCTGACTCTGGTAGAAGCTAACAACAATGTGTGAGTGTTTGCTGTTAAGAATGTTGCCATTTACAGGTATTATTATTATATTTAATCACCCAGCTAGTAAAAATAAAAAGGCTTTGCCTTTTGTGGCCAGCATTGAAGCCGTGGCCAAAGATATGAACTGTTTTTGTGACTCCTGAGCAGAGCACGGCCCATAAAAGGCCTTTCAGTGCACCTTCCACATGCACGGGAACACTGTCTTCTCCACTTTCTGAGGAGCCGAGAGAGAAATGCAGTGTTCAGATCAGGCACATCATTCAGGTTGAACAGAGACGCTACAGGTCAGCAAATTGTCAAAGCATTAAGGTTTACAGGAAAGGCTAAGCCGTCTGCAGTGCACGGGTACAGCGAGATAAAGGTGACAGCACATGGCCATTCACAGCAAGGGGGTTTTCACTTGGATAAACCTGGACAAAGGCCACCAAGAGATCCTCGAGTGTAGAGCGGAACTCACCAAATCGGAATGGAAAAAGTGCAAACTGTGCTGTCAACTTGTTGAAAGCTGCCGTTGGGTGTCTGAGGCTGTAAATCGCGATGGGAGGAGACTGGCCATCATTCTCTGGCAAAACTACAAGGGGTGGGGAGGGTCCAGGCCTGAGAGAGCCCATGATCACCACACAGCTAGAAGGGGTGAGGGAGGGCCCAGGCTTGAGGGAGCCTGTAGTCACGACACAGCTCGGAGAGGGAGCCCGGATTTGAGGGAGCTGTGGCCACTATACAACTAGAAGGGATATGGGAGGGCCCAGGCCTGAGGGAGCCTGTGGTCACTACACAGCTGGAAGGGGTGTGAGAGCGTCTCTGCCTGAGGAGGGCCCAGACCCAAGGAAGCTGTCGGCAGTGCTCTCAGCCTGAAGGAGAGGGTTTCTGGCTGTGTCCGTGACGGTGCAGCCATGATTCAATGCTTGGAACACAAGGCCTGAAGCATGATCCTTGATGTGGGGCAGAGTATTACCCAAACCAAAGCAGAGAAGGGAGGAGTGTGCCTGGACTTAGCAGACCCACGGGGCCCTTGGCATTGACCTTGTGGCAGCAGAGACTGTCTGGGCAGATGGGGGTAAGGACTCTGCAGCTGGTAATTTTTCTACAGGTTAATGATTGATGATGGGTGGAGGCCGGGCCCTCTCTGGGGCTGTCCTCTTCCTCCTGGAAGCTGCTGGGAAAAGGGAGTGGAGGAGCTACTGGGCCCTTGTGCACAGGTTGTAAACCTGAGACGTCTGAGAAGTCTGTTGCTGAAACTCCCTTCTCCAGCTCTGTCTAATTGCGTTTCTGTCCTTTTTTTGACAGGGGAGTGGCTGGGAAGGTGCTGGTCTGAGCTGGACCTTGTCTGATGGCTTCCTCTAACGCCCCGTCACAGCCTGCCATAGGTACGGTATGCATGTTTATTCGTCCTCAGAAGGGGAGTGTGGGGACTGGACGAGGGGCACTGGCTTTGGAACCAGGCCGACTCCAGGTGTGAATCCCAGGTCTGCCGGTGGGTCGGTGGGTTGCTGTGTGCCTGTGGGCAGTGTCCTCACCCCTCTGTCTCAGTTTCCTTGTCTATAAAATGGAAAGATAGTTTGCTCCTCACAGAGCAGGCTCTGCACATGAGTTACTTCTTTTTCTTTTTCCAACTTCCCCTGGAGAGATGGATGCGCAGAGTCACAGTGGGGTTGAGATGCTTCCTGGGGGCTGAGACTTACAAATAAACTAGGAGCAGAGAGGTAGGGGCTTCCGAACCAATCTGTCTTCACCCCTATTAAGGTTATGTCATCTAGCAGTCATAGGGCTGCCAGATTTAGGGGAGAAAAAAGAGAAAAGAAAAATACATACTTACACTAACAAAGGATTACTTGTTTGTCTGAAATTCAAATAGAACTCAGCACCCTGTATTTTCTCTGGCAGCCTTAGCAGTGGGGGCCCCAGAGGCACTGCAGGGAGGCAGTCCAGGGCCCCCGTCCTGGCCAGCAGACTGAGCCTTCGGGGGAAGACAGAATAGATGAGTGATTATGCATGAGGCCCTGCCACCCACACTGTGATGATGATCGAATGGTTTAGTGTCCTGATGGCTCAGTTTCATCATCCATAAAAACGAGGCTAATAATAATACCCTGTCCAGCGTTGTTGCATGGTTTAAGTATATGTAAGACACTGGTGTGTGGTAATCAATCACTTAGTGGATGGAGGGTGTTACCTGTTGGAGGATGTTGACAAGTCAGATGAGCTACGTGGGCTGTGCCCGAGCTCAGAGTGCTGGTAGACCTGAATGGTGAGGGTGAGACTCTTCCTCCTTGAGTCCAGGCTTCTTCCTGAAGGTGAGAATGGACCTGCCCTCTCCGTGGCCTGGAACACGGGGTCCCCTGCCTCCTAGGCTGTCTTGGGTTGGCTCTCCAGAGGTTGGGTGTGTCTAGGAACTTCAAAGGTGTGAGCAGCCTGCTGGAGCCCTGCTACCTGGCCAGATGGCTGGGAAGGGCTCTGTCCAGCTCTGTTATCCAGGGAGGGGCCTCTCGGATGGCTCCTTCTGATAAAGAGCAGCACATGATTGCCTGGATCCTGGGAGGGAAGTCTTGGCGACAAGATCATCCGCTGGCTTACGGCCAGGACTTGAATCGTGCACTAGCCCCTGCTGTCATGGGTGTCCCGCCCTGGCTCATCAAGCAGCTAGACATGGAAAGTGAGAAAATTAATTCTTTATGATCGATCCATTCAGCTCCTTCATTCAACTAAGTTCAGTAATGTTTGATGGACATTCGCTGTTCCAGCCGTGTCTAGTATGCTGTCTGTTATCATCTGATTGAACCAGGCTGGTCGCCACACTGATTCTTTGAGTTTCCCTGTTCTAGCCCTGCCTAGTATGCTGTCTACCGTTGTCTGATTGAACCAGGCTGGTTGCCACACTGATTCTTTGAGAGTTTCCCATTGTCTTGCCAAGTAAAATGCAAATTTCTGCATGGGGTAGAGGTGGCCCCAAGCACCTTGTGGGCCCTTCATCCTTGTTCATGTTCTCAGCCCCACTGGGCATCCGCTCTTGCTCGTCCCTGGATGTGAGATAGCTTCCCTATCTCTCAAAACTCCAAACCAAACTCATTGCCATTCAACTCATGTTGACTCGGGTTTCCCAGGCTGTAAATCTAACTGGGAAGAGACTTCCCATCTTTCCCCACTGGAGCTGAACCGCTCAAGACCCTCGGCCTTTCACTTAGCTGAGCAGCATCCTAAGTTCCATGCCAGCAGAGTCCAACCCTCACTCCTCCCCCAAGGCCTTGTGCCTGCACATCCTCCTGCTGAAGTCTTCCCCAAAGCCCTGGAGAGCATTCAGCTCCTCCCCTCACTGAGCACCAGCAGTCTCTGCAGTTTTCTGTTTTTGTCTTGTCGCATTTGCCTCCCTCACTTGCAGGGAGCTCTTGACACCAAGAGCCATGTTTCGCTTCTGCCTGAACCACCCAGCACAAGGTCTCTCAGGGACTGCTTGGACGGGACAGCTTAAGCTGCTCATGCTTTTAAAGGGGAGGTGCTGAAGTGGCCTGAGTTCCTTCCTGGACACAGCCTGTGGGTGGGAAGGGACTGTCTGTATCAGCCAAGTTCATAGCCTGGTCTTTGACTCAAGGCTGTCATGATAATAATAGTGATTGTAATACTAATACAATAATGCATAGAATCATTATCATAGGAATGTGTTAACACTTAGAAGGCACATACCTTGCACCAGTTGATTTATGTGTGCTGTGTGCTATTTACTTCCTTTTCTAAAAATTCTGACTAATTACTATTATACCTCTCATTTTATTTAAACAAAAACTTCCTCAGAAAGAAAAGATCTTACTGTTCATATGGCGAGTGTGTGAGAGCTGGAGACTAAATCAGGTGTCCTGACACTAAAACGAGTCTCTCCAGTGACACTGTCCATGTGGGAAAGGAGTCTTCCCTCTTGTAATCAGGAGATTCTGTTGGGTGAGGAGGAAGGGTGTGTTAGGGCTAGGTAAGCCCCATCATTCCTCATGAGTCTGTATCTCATACCTTCACCCCTGCTCCCTCTTTCTACCCCACAGAGAGTAGGCAGGGACTTAGTGGCCACTTATTCCAGTATTCTTCAATATTAAAAACCACAACCTACAATGAGAAATATATTTTACATGACGGCAGGGCGCGCGCGCGTGTGTGTGTGTGTGTGTGGTTGTTAGGTGCCATGGAGTCAGTTCAGTTCTGCGCATGCCAGGACAAAGCACTGTCTGGTCTACGCCCTGCTCACTGTTGCTGCTGCCCACTGTTGCAGCCCCTGGGTCATTGCATCTTGTCCAGAGGCGGTTTCCTTTACCCTGACTCTACTTTCCTGGGCTTGGGGGTCTTTCTCCAGGAGCCAGGCCCTCTTGATATCATGCCCAGTCTGTGAGATGAAATCTTGCCACCTTCTCTTCTGAACTGCATTCTGGTTGCACTTCTTCTAGGATAGATTGATTTTTTTGTTGTCTGGCAGCATCTGGTCTATTTAATTGTTTTTGGTTGGGGTTTTTTTTTCCAGCACCAAAATTCAGAGGCATCAGTTCTTTCTCTTGTATGTTTAGGCACATCTCTTGTATCTTGGGCCCTGCTGTAGAAGCTGGGGAGAAAGCAGTGAACGAACCAGACCTGCCCTCGTGAAACTTCTGTTCTCGGGGGAGAGACAGACATGAAAATAAGTAAACTGTGTAGAGGGCAGGTGATCTGGTGGTTAGTGCCACAGAGGGAAATGAAGCATGTAAGACATAGAGGGAGCTTCAGGGGATCTCCTTATGGACTGCTGATCGTGTAGCCCCACGGAGACCTGAAGGGGGTGAGACCATGGGAAGATGCCTGTGGGAAGGACAGACCAGAACTTGGGAAAGTGTGAAAATCCTGAGGCAGGAACACAGTTAGGGTGCAGAGAGCAAGGACACCAGTGTGGCCAGTGTGGTGGAGGGAGCGAGGGGAGGGTAGTGGAAGAACAACCCCCCACGATGTATATATGTACACAGTGTTTATGTATGTACATATATACAGTGCGTGCATATGTGTGTGTTATAGACACACACACGACTTAATTGATCTTGACATATGACCCTAAACATCACAGCCAGCATTATTTTTGCTGTACGTTTCAGTGTTTATAATTGTTAGACTGTAAGTCTGACAATAGTCCATCCAATAGGTTTTTAGACTCTTGTCATAAATGAGCAGTGTTGGATAATGAGATAGTAAATGAGGAATAGGGTTGTGTGTGTCTGTGTGTGTGTATGTTTAAAATGCAAACAGGTAAATGTTCATTAAAATGAATAAAATTTAATTAAAAATGCAAACAGAAGTATAAAAGAATAGTAAATATTTTTACATTGTATAGTTAATAAACATAATATGAAATATAGTATTTTACTAATATGAAACTATTTTTAGAAATGCTCAAATTAAAAAACTAAAAACGCCAAGTGAGAATCCCCTCATTGACTTTGTGACTCACTGACAGGTTGAGAATTAGGATTTGAAAACCGCCAACCCTGTGCAGGAAATCCTGTATTGCCTTTTGTAATTTGTCAACTCTGGGTCATGTCCAAGGGTTTGGGCCACTTCCAGGAGTTAGCAGAGCTTAGGAGGACGAGGATAAAATATGGACTCAGAAACATGTGGTTCAAATCCAGCACCCCTACTTTCTGGCTGCGTGATTGGACACCTAACTGTCCCGTCCATGCTTTCTGTGCATCAATGGACAAAATGGAGGTGACTCTGAGACGGAATGACAAAGCTGCATTTTGGTGACCTTCCGTGCAAAGAAGTCCACCAGTGGATGCTGGACCATTAGCCCCTCTCAGCTCTGAGGGGAGGGCCAGAGCCTGCAACAGCAGCCTCCATGGCCAGTATCCCTCACTATAAATTGAAGAAACTCCATCCTTAGTTTTGACTACATTTGAACAGTTGATGAAGGGACTTCTTGAATTTGATATATTTGGAACTGGAGAGGTGTTCTGGGAACCCCTGGAACACAGTGGTGGAGAGACTGGATTTTTCTAGTAAGAGATTGTCTCTGGCATGGAAGTCAAGAATCCCACCACTGAACCCCCACTGTTATTAACTACAGGAGGGGTGAAGTTCCAATACAGACTACAGTGTGGGTAAGCCTAGACCCTGTTGTGTTAGGTGGGAGAAGCCAGAATCGAAAGTTCAAATAGTGTGTGATCTCCTTAATATGAACTATCTAGTATAGACATAAAGATAGAGACAGAAGGCAATTTAGTGCATTTTTTTACTTACTATATTATTTTTTCTTTTTAAAAAATTATTATTAATTTTAATAGAAGTTTACGGAGATTTTGGATTTCCATTCATTCATTGTTGCACTTTTCTCCCTGCCCAGCCCTCCCCACAAATTCACCCCTCTCTTTGAAAAGTAAAAGAAAAATTCTTTAATTGTTATTCAATCCGTACTCCCAAGTCCATTCTGCTATGCAACCTTTGTTCGGGACTCCTGTCATGACAATAATTCCTAATCATATATCCCTTTTAAACAGTTCTCTCCCTTATCTGTTTCAATGCGGTATACATAAGTTATCCCATCTTTCTCAGTCTCCCCCCAACCCCGATGTCAGTCCCATTTTTCATCAGTGGAGTTTAGTGCATTTTGAAGTTGGGGGTAGCAGAAAATGAGAACTGGCTGCTAATGGCTATGGAATGTCCTTAGAAAGGGTCATGAATTTGAACATGGACTGATGAAGTAACCAGCCAAGGAACCGAAGTAAAGACAGAGGGCAGCGCTGCTTTAGCCGGGTGGTCAGGGAGTCCTTTCCGCTGGAATGGTGCTTTGAAGGGTGCCATGGAGGATAAAGCCCTGGAGGGGATCTCCCAGTGGGGAGAAGCCACGAATGAGGCCCTCAGTGAAGTCGTCCATGCTGGGAACATGGCCCGAGCCCTGGCCCAGCCAGCCCACCTCCTGCCACCTGGAAACTGACTTGCTTCAAGCTCCAGATCTTTTCTGACAACTGTCGTGCCACCATGCGTACCAAATTAAGTGCAGCATCCAGAACATACTCCTGTGGCTCATTCACATATACACAAAGTACACGAACCTGTGTGCTCACCTGCATGTGCGCAGATGCCTGTGACAAGTCCTGGCACACGTACACGAATGCAGAAGGACAAAACAGAGGTGCTGTCACAAGACGGGAGCTTGTTCCTCCCTCTGCTGCCATTGCTTAGAAACTGAACCCAATCACAGGCCCCTTCAGAGCAGGTCCGGCCACCGGGCCAGAGCATGAGCCCAGTTTCGACTGTGAGAACCTTTTCTGTTCCCTTAACCAGATCCCTACCTATTCCCCTAGTTCTGGTTCTTGCTGGCATTAGCTGATCTTCCCAAGTGCTTTTAAAACAGGTTACCATCTAGTGCACTGATTCACTGCGACCCTTTGTGTGTCAAGGCAGGACTGTGCTCCTTGGTCTTGAAAACTGACAGTCAGGCCATCCTTCCAGAGTTGACCTTGACCAACTAACCTTTCAAACGTGCCAGCTGTTTGCATCATCCAAACTCACTCAAACTCATTTCCCCATAGTTGGAATGGACTCCTAGCTGACCCACCAGGGTTTCCCGAGGTGGTAAATCACACAGGAGGAGATTGCCCATCTTTTTCCCTTGGAACCACTGGTGTATCTTACCACCAGAGAGGCTCGGCCTCTACGTTAGTGATGTAGCTCCTTTAGGCTATGTCACCAGAACTCTCTTTAACCCTCCGAGGTTTCCCAGAACCCCACTGTCTCCCTGGACCAGCCTCAGAGGCCCTGTGGGGAAGCTAACTCCTCCTCTCCTTCCTCCTCACACCTTCCCCAGGAGATCATCTGGTTTCCACAGCCCCAGGCCCCTCCCCAGAGGCAGAGGACGACCCTGGCGAGGCTTTCGAGTTTGAGGACAGTGATGACGAAGAGGACACCAGCACAGGCCTGGCCGTCTCCAGTGTTGTTGCCACTGCTGCTGGGAAGGAGACAGAGCCCCCACTGATCTGCTTCGACTCCACCCCCATCACTGGTGAGATTACTGGGAGCCTCTTCTTCCTATTTCCAGGCCTCTAGGACCAGAGCGCTCAGCGGAAGCTGTTCCTCAGGCTCACAGTCATGCCTGATGGCCCTTTCTCTGTCCCTGGGAAGCTGGAAGGAAAGAGGCATTGGGAAGAAGCTGCATTCCATGACTTCTCTTGGGAATTGGAGATTCCTTTCATTCCTGCAACATCTGGCCCACTTTGGCACATTGTAAATGGAAGTGACTCGGCCTGGGCTTTGCTTTGGAGACAGTTGCTGCCCAGGGCTGTGTCCCCACGGCCCTCTCCTAGTAGCTTCTCCCAGAGAATGCACACTAGCTTGGAGAGTCTTCGTTCAAGTCTGTCTGGGAAGCTGATGGCCCTGGGGCTGGAGGGCCAAGATAAGGCTGGTGGTGTTAAATTGCAGCTCCTGGGCTCTTAGATTCTGTCTTGGGGAGAGACTCTGGGGACCGGATTAGCAGGAACTTCCTGCAGCCTGGGGACAACGAGCTCCTTGAGGAGCTGGGAGTAGGGGCAGGCGCAGAGCAGGCTGGGCAGCTGATTCTGGCTGAAGTTGGCATGTGGGTGATGACGGGGGTGGGAGCAGTGAGATGGGACAGGTAGGGGAGCTCAATGACTGTGCAGTGGCTGCCTTTCTCCCCAGGCCTTGGGGAAGGAGGTGGGGCGCAGCAGGGACCCAGGCTGGCTTGGCCCTGTCTCCTGTCTCTGGTTCCTCCTGGGGGAGGCTGGGTAAGGGGGCGGGAATGGGCCCAGCCCATCAGGGCCTGCCTCTGGTCTGACCTGCTCTGTGCTCTTCTCCCACAGACCCAGACCCAGCAGCCGCACCATCCCAGACTGAGTAAGTAAACCTCGTCCTTTGCTTTGATGCTTGGAAAAAATGGGAGAGGGAGCAGGGGTGAGGGAATGGGCAGAGCTGAGACCAGAAGGGCTCCAGGCAGGACTTAGGCTGGAGGCAGGTGATTCTGTCAATTCCCATGCCTAGCACAGAGGTCTGACCCTTAAAGCTTCTGTTCTTTCCTTTCTTGTGCTCTGAAGCCTATGAAATTGCGGAAAGCAGGTCAGTCTCCAAATCTTGTCTCTGTCCCTTGATGGCTGTGTGACCTTGGACAAGTCAAATCTCAAGTGTCAACCTGCTATGAATTCACTAAGTTGTCAATTCTGATTCATAGCCATACTGTAGGACAGAGTGGAGCTGCCCCATTGACCTTCTACGGCTGTAGTCTCTGTGGGAACAGACTGATACATCTGTCTTCCCTGGGGTGATTGGTTGGGTTCAAACCACTGACGTTTTGTTTAGCAGCTACACACTTTAACCCAGGTTCTGTCACGGCTCTTTAAACAAACTTGTTGCTGTGGAATCAGTTCTTAATCACACTGACCTTATGGTAGCAGCCAGGAAATCAAAGGATGCGTTTCAGTGGACACATCTGATGCAAACAACTTCTTTGAAGTTAAATAGCAGAGATCCGGTATTGAGGGTTAAGGTGTTACTGACCCAAGCTGTAATATTTTTCAGTTGCCTCATATGCACTTGAAAGCTAGACAATATATAAGGAAGATCAAAGAAGAATTAAAGCCTTTGAATTATGGTGGTGGTGTTTTTAGGTGCCTTTGAGTCACACATGGCGACCTCGTGTATGACAGAAGGGAGGGTTATCCTGTACCGTCCTTATAACTGCAGCCATACCTGAGCCCATACCTGCCCAAAGTATGTGAGATGAGTTTTCTTTTTGGTGAGTAATATTGAATAGACCATAGGCTGCCAGAAGAACAGACACACCTGTCCTAGAAGAAGCACAGTTAGATAGCTCCTTAGAAGTGGTGATGGAGGGGAGCTCTGGTGGCCTAATGGCAAGAAGCTGCACTGCAATCCCAGAGGTGCACGGTTCGAATCCACCAGATGCTTTGCCGAGGAAGGAGGGACAATCTCCTCCTGTACCTGTCAGATTCCATTTGACAGTACACACACACAAAAATAATAAAATAAAATTTAAAAAAAAGGAAGTGGTGATGGAGAGAAGTCTCTTGGATTTGGGGCATTGTTGTTATCCAGTCCCTACAGAAGGCTGTCGCAAGGACCTTATTTAGAACAGGTCTGCAGAAACATGGGAAGCTCCTCACTGAGATGGCCTAATACCGTGGCTGCAACAGTGGGCTCGAACAGCGGTAACTGAGGACGGCACAGGCCTGGGCTGTGCTTCGTTCAGCTATCTGTAGGGTCACTCTGAGTCAGAACTGACCCCGTAGTACCTAACAGCAACCCCATCATCGACCTGACAGCTGTGTGTTTGGCTTTATGATTCATGCTCAGCACATCGCGTGGCCCATTGGAATGGTGACAGTTCCCTCTTCCATTGCCATGACCATTCTCATTTCTCTTCCCCAAACCATGATTGAGGCTGTTACGGACTCTGCCCTTCTGTACTCAGGAGCCTGGCTGAGGCAGCGCAGCCTAATGGTTAAGATCTTGGTTCTGGGGTCACTGCCTAGATACTCCTCTTGGAATATCGGTCTCTGGGATGTTCTGTAAGTCTCTGAGGACTTTGCTTTTCTCATCTGTAAAAAGGGCAAGTGAGTCTTCCCTTAAGAAACTCTTGTGTAGGAAGTCAGTATCATGCTGGGCATGCAATCGAGGCAGTTCTTTTTGCTGGATTTCCTCTGTGGTCACCAGGTCGGCGTCCCTCTCTGGCTTGAGCTGTGCCTTCTGGGACAGGGGTCAGTGAAGCTGAGGCCTCTGGGCACTGCTGTGCACTGCCCAGCTCTGCGTATGGGTACTTTACTAAGTAAGGCACAGAGAGGCTGATGCGGGCCCTGGGGCTCACTAAGGGCCAAGGGCCCTTAATGAGGGAACAATGCACTTGGACTTCCCTTTGTCTTCTTGACGGTGCTGCGATGGCACTGTGCTTAAAACATTCAGCAGCTGTCTAAAAGGTAGAAAGTTGGACCTTATCAGCTGCTCCGCAGGAGAAAGAAGTGGCAGTCTGCTCTGTAAAGACTAACAGCCTTGGAGACCCTGTGGGGCTGCTCTGTCCTGTGGGGTCCCATGAGTGGGAAGAGACTTGATGGCAGTGAGTTTGGGTTTGGATTTGTCTTCCTGGGAAGAGGCTCATTCATTCTCTGTGCATGAAGGGAGCTAATTTGTCGTAGAGACTCGGGCCTCAGGCTTCCAGGTCCCTGGAGGGAAGACGGTCATGGATTAAAATCGGAGCCAAGAGTCCTTATCTGTGCTCCCTGCTGTCTGGAATGGACCCACAGAGGGTGTCTGTGGAACTTGCCACTGTGTAATTAAGGCCAGAATTAGAGGCCAGCTTTTCCTCTGATGAGGGACCTGGAATGAGTCGGTAACATATTCCTCCGGCACTTGGGGAGGGGACAACTTCAGTGACTGATGGCTCGGGGATTGAAGCCCTTCAGGGTAGTTGTGGTTCTGTGTTGTCTAGGGTGATGCAGAGGGAAATAAAACTGCTGAGGAACTTGGGGGATGCAGTTGAGGTGGGGGATACAGAGTGGAAGGGTGTGACAGAGAACGTGGTCAAGGGACCAGGGCCCTACCGAGGGTGGGGGCGGGGGAGTACTCTAGACCAGGCCTTTGACTGAGCAAGTGAGCTAGGGGAGGGAGGGGGGCAGAAAGATTGCGTACCCAGGGGAAGCTGCTGGGCTGAGGCTCAGAGGAGGGAACTGGATGTGAGCAAGTGGATCCTTACCCGAGTCTGACACTCTTGGTTCTCTCCAGCCACCTTTTTAGAGACGTCCCCCTTGCACCCCAATCTTGGAGTGAGGAGTAGGACCACCTTTCATCCCATACCTGTTCTTAGTATCTGCTGCCCAGGTACCAGAGAGCAGGCTAAGCTTGACCAGTTGCTCTGTGGTCAGCTCTCCATGTAACATGCTGAGGCCGAGTGATGTGCTGTGTATTGCTTTTATCAGCTCTCAGGCTTTCCCAGCTCTGGCTTTGACTCTGCCTGCTGCCCTACAGCCCTGACACTGTATTCACCCCGGGGTTCCTCCCTCGAGCACTGGGCAAGGACTCAGGAAGCAGGTGTGGACCAACCAGCCCACTGTCCTCTCACTGCCTGGCCTCGGGCAAGCCACCACCCCAATCTCTTCAGCTGTAAAACGCTGTTCTTTGTCATCATAGCTGACCTTCCAGCAGCTTTTCAGAGACTGTACGTTACACAGGAGGAGATTGCCCATCTTCCCCCCACAGAGCAGCCGGTGGACTAGAACTGCCTGCCTTTGGATTGCTGGTGAGGTTCCTTACCCACAAGCCCACCAGAGCCCCCTTTAAAGTGAAGGGTTTGGAAGGAAGCCTCTAAGGACTCCTCTCCTGGCCAGTGCTCTGCAATGAGTACGTGAATTGAATGCTGGTTCAGCGAGGTGGTGACATAGCTGCAATCCAGGCCCACCCCAGGGCAGACCCACACGTTGGATAGGATGTGGGAACAGAAATGAGCCCTGGATGTGGACTCAGGGGCATGCTTGTGCTTCTGCAGACCAGCCTCTCTGCCCACAACACTTTGGGGTGGACACTATTATCACCATCTTCTAGATTGGGAGACCGAGGCTCTCGGAGGCTGCGCCAGTGTCCTCTGGGCCATTCCAGGTCTCCGTTTACTTGTGTTCCTGCCGCTTCCTGGATAGTGATTTTCCACTTTACTCTGGAGTCTTTTGGAGAGGAATAATCAATCCAGATCACTCTCTTTCTCCTTGTTATTCAAGAGAAAAGAATAAAAAAAAACACCCCAGTGATTTATTTATTTTTTTAAAATATCCCCAAATGTGGTCACAAGACAAACCAAACATGGCCCTCGGCTTCCTCTCACTGTGTTTCCTCCACGCCCCAGAGTGATCTCACTCGTATCAGGCCATCTGATCCTCTGGACACAGCTGGAGAGGGAGGTGGCAGGGAAGGTCCTAATCCCTACTTCATGGGGACATGATGGCCAGAGTATGGCTGGAGTCCAGGTCTTTGAGGACCTGGAGACTCAAACTGAGCCCAAGAGAGCTGAGGTCCAGTCTTCGCGCCGCTGCTCACCAGTTACGTGCCATTGGCCAAGGTGCTTCCAGCCCCCGAGCTCCACTTCTTAATCAGGAACGTGGAATGAGGAGCACCTGTACTCCAGGACTCTGCAAGGAGTAAGGGGACTCACAGAGTGGTATCTCCTGTACTTGGTCCGGGCACCTGCCTGTGTTGACTGCTCTGTATGTGCTTTCTGTTTTTGTTCTGAGTCCTGGTATCTAGTGGTTTTAGAAGAAACCTGCTGGACTCTGGTAACCCTGGTGGCACAGTGAGCTGCTAATCAGAAAGCGAGTGGTTTGTACCCACCCTTGGGAGAACATTGTGACAGCCAGCTTCTGTAGGTTTATAGCCTTGGAAACTCTAAGAGGTAGTTTGGCTGCTTGTAGGGTCACTGAGTCGAATCCACTTAACAGCAATGCTTTGTGGGTTTTTTCCAACGATCACCTCTACCCCCACCCCTGGTTTTAACTGGGTTCATTAGATGCCATTGGTTATTCAGTGGTAGGATTCTTGCTTCCCACATGGGAGTCCCAGGTTCCAACCCAGGCCAGTATATAGCCGCCCAGCAGGCGGGCTTGCATGCTGCTATTACGCTAAACAGATTTCAGCAGAGCTTTCAAAGGGCCTAGGAAGAAAGACCTGGGGAACTGCTTCTGGAAACCAGCCCATGTCAAGCCCATGGATCAGAACGATGTGATCTTAATATGTGGGGTGAGCATGCTCTGAGCAGGATGGACTCCACGGCATCTAACCACAATGACAACAGCTGGCCTCCATACTGGGGAGGCAGGCAGGCCTGGGCTCATCTGCCTCCTTCA